AATTTGATTGGATATTAACGCAGATAGTTTCTAAATTTGTACTAGCCAAAACTTCACTATATCGAGCGCCGACTGTAGATCGTAAAAAGAAGCAAGTTGCAGATGAACATGAGAATGCACTTACAAAATATTCAAAAAATACATTCTTGTTGAATGTTGACGACGATTCACGTCCAGAGACAATATGATACTACCAGTATATCAAGCACAAAATCAGTATCCATCCTTTAATTATTAAAACTTTGTTACTTCTAGGAAACCATCTACAAACATTTTTTGCAATTACGTATATTGTGATTACACTAACCATACTAATTTGTAATTAAATATTTTTCTTTTTTCTTTTTTTATAATAACCAGTTGGTAAGCATTATACTATAGATTGACTTTTACAACACATAATAATTTTTATTAAAACATCATCTAATTATTTTTTTTTTATAACAACCAGATCGTAAGTATTATAATATAAATTAACTTTTACAACACTAATTTTTATTAAAACATTATAAATTTATTTTTTATTTCTTTATAATAACAGCTTGTAAGTATAATATTATAAATTAACTTTACAACACAAATAATTTTTATTAAACATCATCTAATTAAATATTTTTATAATAACTAGATGGTAAGTATTATATATACTAAATTGGGAATTGCTATTTCTCACTGGTGGTGATTGTCACCACCTAAGGAATTATACAATTTATGATTAACCCCAACCCTAACTCCGCCCCACGCAAATTTAATTCCTTAGGTGGTGACAATCATCACCTGTGAGAAATAGCAATTCTCTACTAAATTAACTTTTACAGCACAAAATAATTTTTATTAATATTAAAACATCATCTAATTAAATATTTATAATAACCAGATTGTAAGTATTATACTATAAATTAACTTTTACAATACAAAATAATTTTTATTAAAACATTATTTTATTTCTTTATAATAACAGCTCATAAACCAAATTGTAAGTATTATACTATAAATTGACTTTTACAATGCAAAATAATTTTATAACATCATCTAATTAAATAAGTTTATTTTTTTATAATAACTAACAATTAAAGTAGGTAAAACATTATATTATAAATTAATCTTTTATAAAATAATTTTTATTTGGAATGAATACCTGTTTCTATAATGAAAAAATAATTATAAAATATAGATGAAAGAAAAGGATACGGAATTTGTTCTGTTTGTGAAAGACAAAATACTAATTATCAGTGGTGTCAATCATGTGATCCCAAATTGTTAGCTCAAAGTCAGACTAACAGTGGTAATGAAAAATTAGATGAAATAATTAGAAATACACAACTTGAAGCAAAAGGATTTGATAGTCATTATTATCTTGAATGGATTCCTTATGACCAATTCACAGATGAAAAAAAAAGTAGGTGAAGGTGGTTTTGCAACTGTATATAAGTGTTACTGGTCAAATGGTCCTAGATTTATTTACCAGAATAAAAGATTTTATTATAGGAGTGGTATTGTAGCATTAAAAAAGTTGAAAGGTTCACAAAATATTTCTGATAAGTATTTAAAAGAGGTAAATAATTTAATATAATTAATTGGCAATTAATGATTTTTAAATAATATATTAAATTTTATCAATTTTATAAAAGCTTCAAAATCACTTTAAACATGTAGGACCATATGATCATATTGTTAGAATTTATGGCATTTCACAAGCCAAATACAAAAGAAATATGCTATAGTAATGCAATATGCCGATGAAGGAAGTCTTAAAAATTATATGAAATCAAAGTATATTAGAGGATGGTGGGACAAAATTACAAAGCTTTATAATATTATCTTAGATTTAAATGTCCTTCACCAAGAAAGACTTATACATGGTGATCTTCACAGTGGTAATATTTTATATTTTTTTTGATTTACCCTGGAGGGTAGTAAAGACTAGTGCTGTAAATTATGATGATGGTAGTAATTGTATTTACGGCATATAAAAAGTGGTTGCAATTACCTTTGCGACCACTTTTGCAACCATACTTTTTCCTTTTTTGGATTATGGCACTAGTCTTTAGAGGGTAGTGATTGCAGATTTAGGGTTATCAGGCCCAGCTGATCAAGAACAATCAAGTGAAAATGGTATATTCGGAGTACTGCCATATGTTGCACCAGAGGTTTTAAATAAGAAACCTTATACACAAAAATCAGACATCTATAGCTTTGGGATTTTAATGTCAGAATTATCAACATGTCAACAACCATTTAGTGATCAACCACATGATCTAGATCTTGCTTGCAGGATCTGTTGTGGCTTAAGGCCTAGTTTTTCAGATGACACTCCAACATGTTATATTAAGTTAGCATACAGATGCACAAATGCTGATCCTAAAAAAAGACCAGAAGCATATGAAATTTTAAAAATTATTACTACTTGGAAACATGCAATTGGATGTAAAAAAATAGAATCCTTTATTCCTTCAATTACAGCAACTATTCATCCAGATGCTGTTTATACAAGTAGACTATTGAATTTTACAAATCTTCCTCAGCCTGTAAACTTCAATAAAGTTACAAATATTGATAATAATAATGGTAATTATCATAAATCATTTGATTGTTAATTTTAAAGTTCAATCATTAATTATTTTATTGTAAATTATTATCATATTTATAGATTCCAAACAAATAGATTTAGATAAATGGATTGATATCCAATTAATCTGATTATTGAAATTTTCACTTTTTATTATTTTTATTTATTTAAAAATATTATATGGATTTCAGGTTCAAGACTGTTTAACATACCAATATAAATGTGATCTTGCATTACTTACTTTATAACTTTTAATTATTTAATAACTTCCATACAGAATAATTAGTGTAATTAATAAAATCATAGCTGGCTTACTTTTCCTTCAACTTTACTTTTTCACTTAGTTGCCCAACCTTTATTTGGCTTAATTTGATTTGTTGAATCAACTTTCTAATTTTTGAGTTTGGACTACTATTTGCTCAGTTAACTCTTGAATAATTTTCTCCTGTTTAATTAACTCAGATTTTTGCAATATCAGTGGATTCTAACATCACTCCTAAATTTATGAGTGTTGGTCATTTCATTTTTTTTTTTGAAAATTGTTAACCTTTTTGAAGAATAGACAAAAGTTTCATTGCAGTAACTTAAAATATTTATATCTTCATTGGTGCAGTTTATCAGTAAATAAGAATGAGTGAATGTTGTGATACCATGTCCGAGTCTCAATGATGATAATTTATTCAATAATTTCTTCCAATTTATTTATACTAAATTGTAACAACAATTTCTGCGAATGTGTATTTATGCTTTACTCGTTAAACAATTCTTGCTAAGAAACACTAAACAATATCTTCTTTAGATTTCACACTATATCCCGATCACGTTTCTTGAAGATGCTCTCTTAGCTATTAATCCTTGTATTACCAAGTCAGATACATTTTACTAAATAAAATTTATATTATCTCACTAAAAGAAAAGAAAGAAATAATGATTATGCATGGGATTAGTATGAATTCATTGTTAGAGATGGATTATATCATTACAAAAATATAAAATTCGAAGACAAGGACAAGGATAAGGATAGTTTGTTATATATTTAATGGTGATATTGGTAATATAAATTAATGATATGATGATATGATGATTATAATGATTATGATGATACATGAGTTAAGAAATTACAATGTTATACATGTTAGTTAAAGGTTCAACCATTTTGTTCTGTAGTTTTCTAGAACTCCTAATTTGTTCTAATTAAATGCATTACTTGAATCTTCTGCATATAGTGCAGAACACCTAGTCCCTACAACTTTTATTAGCCTTGCAAATCCTTTAACTCCTCCAAAATGGAAATGTGTGACCAAAAAAACAAGATGTCATTTTGAAGCTAAGACCTTTTTCTACAAAATGACATTTTCATTTTGTTGACATGTCATGTTGTTGTGGAGGAATTAAGCTTTAAAGTTGCACAAGTTTAACAAATTTACTATGTTGATCCCCCAAAGTGACGTCTTACACACCATATGGGCCAATTTGTTCGATCGGCAAAAGAAAAAAGTATTAATGACATGTGGGCGTTACATTTTGATGATCATTATTTATTTTTAGATATATATAAATAATTAACTGTATTACTATTATAAACGT